TGACCATGGGCGGGCGGGAGGAGCCTTCCCGGCGTGTCTGTGCCCCGTGCTGACTGCTCCACTTGGAGATGGTCCAGGGCCAGGGGCCAGAGCAGGGGCCACAGGAACGGAAGCACCGGGCACCCAGCCGGCTGGTGGACGGTCGGTGCTGCCAGGACACATGGCACAGGCTCTGGGGCTCTGCCCTGCGGGGCCTTCGGGTGCAGGCGTGGAAACATGGGCCCGCCCAGGAGCACCCTGAAACCACCTTCCCAGGGGAACCCCGGCCCCATGGAGAAAGGCTTTTGCCAGTCTGCCCCAGGGTCGTGGCCACCACCATCATATTTCCCAGGACGGGCGGGGGCGGGCGGGGGCTGGGGCTGTGCTCCCCCGGGGGCCTGCCAGTGTGGCTCGGACCAGGCGCTGAGGCGGTCCCCAAGCCCGGCCCCCGGTGACGGCTCCCTCCCGCCCAGGAGATCATCCTGAAGCGGGCGGCTGACATCGCCGAGGCCTTGTACAGCGTCCCTCGCAACCACAACCAGATCCCCACGCTGGGCAACACCCCTGCGCACACGGGCATGATGGGCGTGAACTCCTTCAGCAGCCAGCTGGCCGTGAACGTGTCCGAGACTTCACAAGCCAATGACCAAGGTAGGTGGGTGCGCGCGGGGCAGACGGGGGGTGGTGAGGCTCGGCTGCGGCCGGCCTATCCCCGGTCCCTGGCACAGCACCGTCCAGGGAACCGAGGCCCCGGCACCCATGCAGCAGCCGTGCCAGCTCACACTCGGGGCGTGCTATTTGCTTGAAGCTTCCTTGAGTTTATCCGTAAGCCACTTGGCTTTCCTGACGGTCCAGGGTGAGCCGCAGGGTGGCTGGGATGGGTCAGCCCACCGGCGGGGCCCTCCTCGGATGTGCTTCTGGGTCCGTAACGCACAGACACACAGAAGTGCCTGCTCCCCACGGTGCCCCCACCCCACCCCGGGCCGGGCAGCGGGGAGTGGCCCCTGCAGTCAGAGCCGGCTCTCAAGGCCCACGTCCGGCCCCCTCTCACACATCCTGCAGGCAGTTCTGCCTTGGCTCCGCTGTGCTGCCCCTCTGCACGCACCATGGCGGGAGGGAGCCCCACACACTCACAGAAACCGCAGCTGGAAGAGTGACCCCCCCACCGCCTTTTCCGGGGCGTATGGCCTCAGACAAGCGCCCCTCGTCAGCCACGGCATTTGAGGGGCCCGCCCCGGAGTCTGAGCTGCTGGTAGTTGCTTCTGGCCAGACCCGGACGCGGCTGACGGGGAGATGGAGGCGTGCGTGCTCCAGGCCGCCGGGCCAGTGGGCAAACAGCTCGGGCCTGGCTGCCGCACACACGGTAGGAGCGCAGGCAGGGGCACAGGCGCCGCAGGAGGTCGATGAGAAATGTTTACTGTATGATACAGATCTGCGGGGGACCCCCCCAACCCCCGCAATGTCTCTCCCTGATAATAACGTTATTTTTGGCCGGGGGGCGGGGGGGTTTTGACAGTCGGCTACAGTCGCAATACCAGCAGCGTGTCCCCGCGAGGCTACGTCCCCAGCAGTACTCCCCAGCAGTCCAATTACAACACAGTGAGCACTAGCATGAATGGATATGGAAGTGGCGCCATGGCCAATCTAGGGGTCCCTGGCTCGCCTGGATTTCTTAATGGCTCCTCCGCTAACTCTCCCTACGGCAGTAAGTGTCTGTTTTTGTCACACGTCATCGCCCGCATTCATTTCCACTCCGAGTCCTCCGGTGTGTGCGTTGCGTGGATGTTCTGTGGTGTGCGCTGCTGGACCGAGGAAGGGTGGCTGTGGAGGCTGGGCGCCCCCCTGGCGACAGGACGTGGACCTCGATCGGGGGGGCCCCCCCGTGCGGTCGCACTGGCACCCCAAACCCAGGCCCAGACCCGATCGGAACGGCGCGGGGCCGCCCCATTGGACCCGGGTCCGACACGGCGCTTGCCTGTGCCCGGCCCGCTGTCCCGGCGCCCGGCCCGCGGGCTCTGTGTCGCGTCCGCACGGCGCCGCGCGTCCTGACCGTGTTTGCTTTGTTGCAGTAGTGCCGTCCAGCCCCACCATGGCAGCCTCTTCGGTCACCCTCCCTTCAAACTGTAGCAGTGCCCACGGCATTTTCTCATTCTCACCTGCCAATGTCATCTCCGCAGTGAAACAAAAGAGCGCCTTTGCGCCCGTGGTCCGGCCCCAAGCCTCTCCTCCTCCCTCCTGCACCAGCGCCAACGGGAACGGACTGCAAGGTGAGGGCGGGGCGCGCCTGGCTGAGCGGGGGCCGGGGGAGGGGGGTGGGCGGGCTCCGGGAGGCCTGGTGGGACTGTCCCCGAGGCCTCCGGGGGGCAGGCCGGGCACGAGGCCAGGGGTGGAGCCCGGTGCCCGGTGTGGCCCCGGCGGCGGGCGCTCCGGCCCTTCCTCAGGCTCGTTCTTGGAGCCCTGGCAGCGCCCTCACCATTGCATGCTCCCTGAAGTCCCCCTGGAGGCACCCTTCCCCTGCCCCATTCTCAGAGATGACACCCCGATCCTGTAGCCTCCCAGACACAGCCTGTGCCCTCCCGGGGCAGTGCGGTGCCGTGGGGAGGCAGGGCTGCACTCAGTCCTCTCTGCGCAGGGCCTGCAGGCCCCGCCGGGAGCTCCCGGGCCACAGCTCCTCACTCGGAGGCAGCGGAGTGGCCCCAGGGCCCGGCGCAGCGTCGGCGTGCCGCCTGCAGAGCCCACCTCAGGGCCAGAGCCCCAGCGGCCGGGCCGTCCTCACGGAGGGCAGTGGGGCTGGGCCGGGCAGGCGGAGCCGTGACTCGGGCTGTCCTCCAAAGACTCCAGGAGAAGGGCTGGCCCCGAGGGCAGAGGGAGGCGCCGCCCGCACAGCTGCTCACAGCTGGGACACGCTCAGCGCCCCCCGCGCCCGCCTCGGGCTGGGTCCCCGGGCGGCGGCCTGTGCCGCGTGTGGCAGGCGGGGCCACGTGGGCGCCCGCTTGCCCATGGCTCCGGGGTGTCCCGAGACCCCGGGCGCAGAGGTTCAGGGCCACCCTCTGGCCTCTTTCAGACACCTTTGGTCTCTGCTCCTCCCGGTGAACCAAATCCAGTAGCTCCTTTAGACACACGAGCCCCTTCCACCAGTATTTACTGAGCGCCTATATGTGCCAGGCTCTCTGCTGGGTGCCGAGGACGTCCCCGTGGAGAAGACTAACTGGCCCTTTTGTGAAGTCGGTGGCATATTTCACTTTGATGAACTAATGCTCAAAAAAGGACCTGGAAAGGTATCAGTGATTTGAAATCGTTGTCTTCACCACACCCATCCGTGCGTGAGTGGGACGCCCAGGCCCCAGCACGGCCGCACGGCCGGGGCCTCCGCCCGCCCCCGCCCACGGCGCCGGGCCCCTGGAAAGGGGGTGTCACATGAGCCCCGTGTACGTGCACGCGCACGCGCACGCGCACGCACACACACACACACACACACACGCACACACACACACACACACGGGGCCTCCAAGCCATAAAGTTGTAACGGTGAGTCGGAGATAAATTAATATTGTTGGAATTAATGAGCTGGGAAATTGAAGCTCGCATCACTACATGAACAAATGTATTAATATGTGGTACATAAATTAACGGGAACCGTCGTGCTGACAAAAATTAAACAACACGGAAGTTAAAAGATTCCAACATGACACCCGTGTCAGGAGTCCGCCAGAGGCGCCCGCTGCCCTGGGCGTCTTCCCTCTCCTTCCGAGGGGAGGCAGAGGGGCCCCCCCGAGGCCAGGCTGGGGCCTGCGTCTCTCCGGGGCCCCTGGCAGTGCCGTGGCTTTGATGTCGGGGGCCCACGACTCACCATTACGATGCCCGGCGGTCAGCAGAGGGGAAACCGAGGCGTGGCCAGGCTTCCCCTCGGGAGAGAGAGAGCAGGCTGGTCCGTGCTGTCCACAGAGGTGGCCTCTGGGGAGTCAGGGCCTCCATCTGCTACCCACAAGCCACTGTGGTGCGTGTGGCACAGCCTTCCCACACGGAAAAGCCAGGGACCCTCCTTCCACAGGAGCACGTGAGCAGGGTCTGTCCCAGGTGTACCCCAGCCCCGGACGTAGGCCCCCCCCACACCTTAGCCAAGCCCCAGGCTGGCTAACGGAGAGCTGTGCAGACCCAAGGTCACGGAGGAGGAATGCAGAGAGGAGGCCGGCCCGCCCGCCCCCGCCCCGCCCCGCCCCGGTAACCCTGTGCTCCCTCTCTTGCAGCTATGTCTGGGCTGGTAGTCCCGCCGATGTGAGGGACCTCTGTTTCCCTTCCGCAGCACCCAGCACCCCGGGACGGACTGCAGGGGACGCGTTTAGCGTACTGAGACACGCTGGTGGAGACCGTATCTTCAAGTACGTCAGCAGCAGTCGACATGCCACGAGAGCCGTTGTTTAAAGATTCTATTTAAACCGTTTAAGGAGCGACATGCAGAGCGGCCCACTTCTTCACGGACAATTCCATTTTCCGGACAGAACTCTCCTCCTGGCCCCGCCCGCCGCGGCCCCGGAGAGCCAGGAGGACAAAAGCGACGCCTATTTTGTATAGAGTTTCCGACTCCGTCTTGGCTGTGTCTCGTACTTGCTTTGTGTTGGGAGAAACTTTGTGAATGCACCATTTTGATGCTCATGACACACACTGATGAAAAATGCCTGCGGACATTTTTCTGTCCTCATCCTTAGATTCACAATGGTTGTGTATCTCTATAATGTGAAATATTTTTCTGTGGTGAACCAAGGGGGCCAACGGAGGCGCCAGCCATCGACCTGGAAGGGAGCGGAGGACACTGCGATTCGGACTGGGGGTGGCAGGGGAGGGAGGGCGGGCTTACCATTGCTTACCTTCATCTTAATGAAATGAAACTTTGTAACTTATTGTAGTTAGAAATCGTAACTTTGATATTGAATTCTCTTGCCTTCAACAAGCACACTGACAGAGGAAAAAAAAATGCTACTGTCTGTTGGTTAAACTCTTCTCCCACTGCTAGAACTTCCTGTTAAGCAAGCGTGATCTGCGACATTTTTCCACTTTTGCTAGTACTGTATACGATTGCATTCTTAGGCTACTGTGAGGTCCCTGTTTCTTGTACCAGAACTTGTCCTTTTGACTTCTAGATCCTTCTCCCCCTAATGTGTTTTGTATGTGGTTATAAAATTGTAGACTTTTGTGATTTTGCCAAAGTTGTAGCTAAATATTTATACACTTGTCTTGAATTTTTTTCAGATCCACTTAACTATTTAGAGAGGGGAAAACAAAAAAACAACAACAAAACACCCCCCGCCAAGTTTTATTCTTTATGCATCCTATAAGGAATGAAACGGTCTCATCCGACACTTTTCCCATGAACACTTGCAGTTGCGAAGGGACGTTGTTTTGTAACATATCAATTATAAATATTGTATTTATCGTTGGAATTTTGTACATTGCTTTCCCCGCCATCTTTTTTCCTTTTTTCCCTCTGTCCGCATTGATGCTGGGTCATGGCCCGGCGTTTGCGACGCTGGGAAGGGCATGAGGCCAAGACCGTCTCTCTCGTCTGTTTCGTTAAAATGCATCCATGTCCTTGCGTTTCATTTGTACTTAACAAAGTAATTTGCTATTATTTAGACTTTTCCATCCTTTTTTTTATTTTGAGGAAAATTCAAATTCATTGTTTATTTTTATATTATTTTTAAGTTATCTGAACAAATACTTTTGAGGAAAAAAAAAAAGTCTGTTGTATAGTCAAAACACAACGGTGCCACCGGCTGTGACAAGTCCTAGTAGTCTGTGCATGTGGGACGGCCGTGCAGAGCGGACTCCGCTCGGGGCTGTGACCTTATTTTATTATAATTATAATTTTTTTGGGTAGAATGTAAAAAAAAAAAAGTCATTTTAGCTGCCACCCATGACTTTTGCCACATAGCTGAACTGTGTTTACTGGAAAAATTCAGAGGCCTAAAGTTTAAAATAAAATTTACTTCTGATGTTTTAATTAAACTGTCTGCCACATGGACTTCTCTGATGCCTTAAAAGTGGACTCATTTAAAGACCCCTTGTGCTGTTTGACCGCAGGCATGCACCACCACGGCTAGCCCGATCTCATCTGGAAACGCACAGTGTAACACACACATACACACACTCACACTCACACACACACACACACACACACACACACACACCCCGTCTCTCACCCCCCCCCCCACATACACACACACAGTCACATGCACACACGCAAACACTCAAGCACAAACCTGGTGCCTGCCGGGTCCCTCACTGCAGCCGATCCTGCTGCCTCCTGCCGCCCCCCCTCCCCCACGCTCCCCTCGGGTCCCAGAGGTTTTGGGGGGGGGGGGCGCGCACAACGGCCCGTTTCCTTGTGGAGCATTTCTGGGGTGGCCGGGCGCTGCAGCGCGTCTGTACTTTGTAAACTGGAATGACCTTCCCATCCTGCGCGTGCGAGTGCCAAACCCGTGGCGAGACCCGCCCGACGGGCCCGCGCTTCCTCCCCGGGCGCTCAGCGTCCGCGGGCAGACATTCTGCAAACGGCAGCAGGAGTCACGCTCACACAGACAGGAGGGGCTTTGTAAACACGACAAAAAACAAAGCGCACCACTTCCAAAGCGTCCGTTCCAGGGGCGAGGTGAACAAGCCCCAGCCGTCGGCGGGTCCAGGGGCTGTGGTGGCGGGAGGCTGGGCCTCGTGGAGGAGCCTGGGAAGTGACTGGTTTCCGTCAGGGTTTGGGGGGCGCCGGCCGGGCCTCCCCTGCCCTCGGCGTGTGCGTTAGGTCCGTCAGCCAGCAGCGCCCTCCTCGCTTTCCTGTCTCCCGTCGAGTGCTCCGCCCCCGGTAGATGTTCCTGTTAGAGACCCTGCAACGAGATGGTTTTATCTGTACATTTTTTCAGATATTTAACTGTATAAAAATGTTCATTTTACACAATATTTAATTAAAGTATTTCTCGTCTGTGGATTCCACTTCGGGTGATTTTGTGTGTTGCGGTTATTGAGACGCCCGCCTGGACACACACATGCAGCTGACTCTGGGGGTGTCCTCTGCGTTCCCGGGGGTCCGGAGCCTCGTCGCGGCCGACACGGCGGGTTCACGGAAGAACCTGCAAAGGGACCCGCCTGCAGAGAGAGAGGCTGTGGGCCACTTGGAGGCTCTCGTCCCGCCCGTATGCCTCACGCACACATCCGGCCAGCGGCCCTGAGGGACGTGCCCCACGGCCACCGCTCCCCGGCCCCCTCTGCTGCTGAGCCGCGGGGTTTGGCCGGCGGAGCAAATGCCCCTGGCGTCCCCGTCACGGGCTCCGGAGCAAGGATCGGCTTTAGGAGAGGGTGGGGCGGGGCTGAGAGTGGGGCGCAGGGTGGGCAGACGGCAGGGCGCCAGATACAGGTGCCAGGCGAGGTCTGGTGTGAGGTCTGACGTGAAGGTGTGGTGCCACCGCCGACGCCATGGCCGTGACAGGCCCGGGCCACTGCCCCGGCTACCTCCCTGGACCGGCCCCCGCCCCGGCCCCCGCCCCGGCCCCCGCCCCGGCCATTGCCCCGGCTACCTCCCTGGACCGGCCACTGCCCCGCCCCCGCCCCCGCCGCTGCCCCGGCTACCTCCCTGGACCCGGCCCCTGCCCCGGCCCTCGCCCTGGCCCCCCCCCCCGGCCATTGCCCCGGCTACCTCCCTGGACCGGCCACTGGACCGGCCACCCCACCGGCCACTGCCCTGGCCCCGCCCTGGCCCCCGCCCCGGCTACCTCCCTGGACCGGCCACTGGGCCGGCCACCGCACCGGCCACTGCCCCGGCCCCGCCCCGGCCCCGCCCTGGCCCCTGCCCTGGCCCCCGCCCTGGCCCCCGCCCTGGCCCCCGCCCGGCCACTGCCCCGGCTACCTCCCTGGACCGGCCACTGGACCGGCCCCTGCACCGGCCGCTGCCCCCGCCCCAGCCCCGGCCCCCGCCCCGGCCCCCGCCCCAGCCCCGGCCCCCGCCCCCGCCGCTGCCCAGCCACGGCGGGCTGCACGTGGGTGTAGCCAAAGGTGCTGACAGTAAGGAGAGCTCCTGAGGTCCTCATTTACACACCGATTCCAGCCCCTGCGAGCTCTCAGCGCCCCGTTCCGTTTTATTCTGCGCTTTTCCACCTCCTCCTCAATGAGAGGCGGTTCTGCGTGTTTTGGCTCGCAGCTCTCACACATACACATACGTGTGATCCAAATTAGTGCTCACAAATGTCTGCTTAATTACTTGTTCTGCTGAGCAAAACAGGAAACAATTACTCAAAACATAAAGAAACCTGTGCCGCCGCCGCCTCCTGCCAGTGCCAGGCCAGCTCCTTTCACTGCGTTTGTTTCCGCCTTAAAGCGAAGGCGACGAAAGGGGCCCGGGGCACAAAGCTGCCCTGCCCACTCCCCTCCCCCAGGCTCCGTCCCAAGATGCGGGGTGTGGGGAGGATGGGGGTGGGCGGGGGCTGGGGACTCAGTTCACCTGCCTCTCTGCGCCTGGGCAGGACCAGCCTGGGCCGGGGCGTGGGGGGGGGGGGCAGGGACCCAGCCTGGGCCGGGGGCAGGGACCAGCCTGGGCCAGGGGCAGGGACCAGCCTGGGCCGGGGGCAGGGACCGGCCTGGGCGGGGGCGTGGGGGGGGGGGGGGCAGGGACCCAGCCTGGGCCGGGGGCAGGGACCAGCCTGGGCCGGGGGCCAGGGCCCTGCGTCCGGGGAGAGAGAAGTGGCCGTGTGTTTGTGTTTCGAATCAGAAGCGAGAAGTGCCCTTTCTCGGCACTTCTCGGCGCCGGTGCCGGCTATTGTCAGGCCGCCTTTTAAGGTCTTTCAAAGCTCTTAAAGATTATTCAAAGCACTCGAAATGGGCTTCCATCTAATGCCTCATTTCATTGCATTAAACAGCCCAGTTAATAAAGAATCGATATATTCAAAGGGCAAGGTTACCTTTTGTCTATAGGGGTGGTGTCACTCCGCACCTCTTAGAGTTCACATGCTGAAAAAGACCTCACGCGATCCATACTCATCAGGCAGGTCACGGGGAGCGGCGGCGGGGGGAGGGGGGGGTGTGCGGGGAGAGGGGCCCCTCCGAAACCTCTCCAGCCTCTCCAGCCTTATCGCCGCGCCCCGCGCCCGTGAGGCCGCGGAAAACGTCAATTTCTCATCAAGACAAGAGGCCGCGCTGACCGGCCTCTGCAGAGAAGACACACAATTAAGAGAAGGCGGCCGGGCGGAGGGGGCCGTTTGGAGACCCCCCACCCCCGCCCCCGCCCCGGCCGAGAGCCCCTCCCCGCAGGTGATAACAAGAGTTGTTGATAACTGAGGTGTCGATGCGCCCAGGAGCGGCCTCTGAATGCGCGCCCTTGTGCGGGCACTCCCGCGATCCCGCCGATAAGGCCGCAGCTGCGGGAGCGGGGCTGGCCCTCACAATTAACGCCGCGAGTAAATCACACAAAGGGCCGCCGACGCCGACGCCGTGAGACAATCCCCCGCGTTACCCTTCAAGGGCTCCTTTTATGTGGGAATAAGGTTGCTTTTAATGAAATTTAAACTCATCAGAGGAAATCAAAAACCTCCAATCAGATTACAAATTGATTTTCTGGTCGTTTGTCATTTCCCAGTGTGGGGCCGCGGGTTTCCCAGGAGTGGCGTGCACAGGGCCCTGGCGGGCGGCTCCTGACCCCTGCATGCTCGGACCCGTGCTGACTCTGCCCCCCCTCCCGGTGGTTCTGGGAAAGTGAACCCACGACAGAGTGGGTGCCGTTCGGCTCCCGTTCCAGCCGAGGCCCCGCCCAGGGGGAACCGCCGTCCTTGGCGGATCTGGCTGACGTCCAGGCTCAGCCAGGGCCCCCCGACAGGCAGAGGACGCTCAGTCGGGGTCTGTGTACGTCGGGGTTTGTGCGCGCGCCCTGAATCTGCTCTGTGCCAGGCCCACAGAGCCCCCGGAGTGCCACGGAGCCCCCGGAGTGCCACGGAGCCACACGGAGCTGAGCTGGGCCCCTCTCTCACGTGACAAACCGCAGTCCAGAGAGGGGATGAGCAGCCGAGGTCAGGGTGGGAAGGACCAGGCGGTGCAGGGAAGTGCCAGGTGCACCTGGGCCTGTGCGCTGAGGCAGGTCTCAGAGACCTTCCTTGGGGAATTCGATACAGACTGCCGGGACGGAACCAGAGCCACGCTTCCTGGGACTCCCCCAGCCATGCTAGGAGGACACAGGCCGCCCCCCGGCTCAGGTGGCCGGCTCCGAGCCCGCCTGGGGGCTGAGGGGGCGGTGAGAAGGGCGGGAGGCCCCGGGTCCCTGTGCCTGCTCTGGCCCGGAGCTCCGGGCGGGAGGGGCCCGTGCTGCTGCGATGGGGCAGGTGATCCGGTGGGGCTGTGTCTCTAGAAACTTCTCTAATCAGAACGGATCTGCTGTCAGCAGCCTCGGCGTGAGCTACGGCGGAGGCGGTCTCCTGGATGCAGACCATGGAGCCCGTGCTGGGACTCTCTTTTTTTTTTAGTCTAACAAGAATCAATATTTAAGATTATGCAATGTCCACACCAGCCCGAGGACAAGGCCGGGTAATTTACAATGCAAGGCGTCCATTCCTTTTGAGAGGGGAAGGGAAAATCAAGATTTAAGCTTTTCATCCTGGGCTGAATTCGCCGCTCGGTCCTAATGGCAGCGGACGTAAATAAGCCATCCATTCTGCTTTGTGAGCCGCCGGTGCTCACAGAGACTGGAAAGCCTGACAGGCCGCGGGAGATCCCGGCCTCTGGGCAGCGGGCGCCACTGCCCTCAGCACCGCCCTGGGCACGCTGGCCGCCGGCCTGAGCCCTCGGACCCGCCCGCAGAGCCTCTGCCCCCACAACCAGCAGAGAAAGCCTGTTTAGTGTCGGCTCCTAATGGCTCTCGTGGCCCGTGATTTTACTGTGACGATTAAATATTTATAAAGGCTCGTCAATAGTGTCCCACAGCGGTCCCCCGAAGCCGCACCGGGCCTGCTCGCGCGCGCGAAGCCGGAGGTCGGAGGTCAAGCGGGCAGGCAGCATCTGCTGCCGCCAGGGCCGGCCTTACTCAGGGGCAGGGCTGGCTCCTTTGTCTCCAGTGAGTGCAGCCACTGGCCTCTGCCACCTTAGACGTGATGTGCCAAGGAACCCGCCAGAGGCCTCCCTGGACACTGTCCAGCTCAGGGTGTCCCTGGAGGAGGAAGGGCACCACCCTTTGCTGCCACCTGGAGTGAAGGTAGGAAGAGAAGGGCTTTGAATGAGGAGCACCCTGTCCATACCTCCCGGGGCAGCGGGACCCTGGGTGCTGGTGGGGCCCTGGAGGAGATGCGCCGTCTGCCCTCCCCTGGGGTCACTGAGCTTCTGAGAAGAACCAGGATCTGTGTGAGCCGTGAGGCACTGCCCACGTGCGAAGACTATTCTTGTTTCCACACCCGGGGGTGCGTGGACTGATGCCTCTCTGAGCTCTGGGGGTCAGGTGACCGCTGTCTTCCCTCACAACCAGCCGGGGTCACGTGACCACTGTCCTCCCTCACAACCAGCCGGTCAGGTGACCACTGTTCTCCCTCAGAACCCGCCGGGGTCATGTGACCGCTGTCCTCCCTCACAACCAGCTGGGGTCACATGGCCATTGTCCTCCCTCACAACCAGCCGGGGTCATGTGACCGCTGTCCTCCCTCACAACCAGCCGGTCAGGTGACCACTGTCCTCCCTCTCAACCAGCCGGGGTCAGGTGATCACTGTCCTCCCTCACAACCAGCCGGGGTCACGTGACCATTGTCCTCCCTCACAACCAGCCGGGGTCATGTGACCACTGCTCTCCCTCACAACCAGGGGGTGCCCACACAGAGAAGAGGGGCATTGAGGGCTTGAGGTGACAGGCTGGCATCCCCGTGAC